TAATAAGTACATGGATTACGGGGCCTAGATTTTCGAAGCTCTCTTAGTGCTAAGATAGTCGTAAGTTAATGTTAATGTATGGCACTTACGACTATCTTAGCGTTAAGAGAGCTTCGAAAATCTAGGCCCTGGAATATATACTGCTCAAAAGATGTTCAAGAACATCTGATTCTTTCATATCACTAAGGTTACGTGTCATTCCGTGACATGATTAACAAAAGACATGATAGTAATGTGAGAGTCAGGTGTTCCTGAACATGCTCCAGTACTTATTGAAAAGATGATTCCCCACATGGGTACAATGAGTGAAGCCTATTTCTGGTGTCCCCCCGCCTTGATATTGCTGGAATATTGCTAAAAGCAGCATAAAACTAGACTCACTCACTCTTGAGAAGAACTGACATTTGGCACTATTTACCATGTTAACATGCTAACCCTGCTTAAAGGCTGCTACCTTTCTTTATTACAGCATATTCTATCTCAGTGTTTAAAGGTATTTGCCTTAGTAGGCACCCTGGGCTCTTACAGTTAGAAACAACAGCAGGGGTTCGTATTAGTGGTGGTCCGATTAATTGAAATAATCGAAGATTGGTCGCAATGACTAAACGACCAAGCAATCAATCATGTTTTCTCATAATCGAACACAAAAGCATTTGGAACACTTGTTTGTTTTAACAATATGTTTCACAGGGTTGGTTTTGTCTGTTACATTTCAAAAGCACTACAAGCTCGTTCCAAGTCAGGATTGAATTTATCTTAAAGACTCCTGGAAATTTATGTTCCTAACATACTGGTCATCCTTTAAAGATGTAAAATTTGCAAATGCCTTTTGTGCAATTTGCAAAAAAAACTCGATAGAACTACATGTTCTTTTTGTGCATTAAAAAACACAACCAGGAAAATTTGATAAATGATGCTAACCAATTATTTGGGATGATTGAGCAGCTGTAATGAACCAATCATCAATGTATGAGATTTTAACCAATTCCCAACACTAGTGAATATTTAAACAATACAAGAGTTGAGCTGTCAGAGAATAAAGTAAAGAGAATAATCTTTTTGCAACATATTTCCATTGATTAGTTGTCAAAATGGATGATCAAGTCCACAACCCATCAGTCGAACAATACTTCATGATCTCTGAATGATTCCTGTTTAACTTGCATACCTGTATTTCACAGTAGTTCTACATGTACTGATTGACACAGGTAACACATATACATAACAGAATTGCAGTGAATCATGCATTAAATTGGCAATACATCTCAATTAATTAATTCCTATTTTGACTTTGTGCAACATGTTCCAGACTTGGGACTACACAGAACAGATACAAATAGGAAGCCACACTGATGAAACAGCATATTAAAAATAATTTTAAAAATTGCCCAAAACAAGCCCAAAGAATGGAACAGAGAAAGTAAAAATACGTAAAATATTCAAAGAAAAACTATCACTACCAAATGTGAATGACAACTTATGATTAGATGGCTAAAAAGATTATCTAGAGCTCTTATACCATACCAAAGAAATCACAGACTGTCATATTAAAGAGTGTTGACTGTACTGAGTGTCAACATAGTTGATACATAGATTACTTGCCGACTGACCTAGAACTGTACAATGGGCACTCATTTGAGTTGGACCGACATGGTGAATTTGGTAAGCCCAATTCTAATGACATGATGCCCAAAACAGCCATCCAATCATATTACATTAATCATAATGATCAAGAAAAAGACAGTGCCTAGTTGGTGATAAGAAACACGCACTGATGAAGCAGGTAATATAAATTCTGACTGACTGACTGAGTTTGGTTTTACGCCGCTTTTAGCAATATTCCAGCAACATCACGGCGGGGAACACCAGAAATGGGCTTCACACATCGTACCCATGTAGGGATTCGAACCCGGGTATTCGGCGTGACGAGCCAACACTTTAACCACTACGCTACCCCACCGCCCCATATAAATTCTGAAGCATGTTTAGTGTCATTGCACCCGCCTCACACAAAAGTACTGCAGCTTACACTATGTCAATAATGCTGAGGTTTGCAATTAACAAATGTACTTGGGCGTTCAGTAACCTTCCATTTCTACAGCTTCTTGAAGAGTATAAGAATTAAGTGTTCCTTCAACAGAAAACACTGGATAACATATTGTTTCAAACTGCCACCATTTTTTATCTTTTAAACATTCTTTTTCAAACTTCACTTCAAACAAAACGCAAAATATTAAACAGCTATACTAACATGACAGACATTCCGAGTTTGGTCAAGTGGTTTCCAAGAAGTATAAGTTATAACACCCTAAAGCTGTGCACAGTGATGAAGAACAGGTCATAATACCCTACACAAACATATTAAAGGTCACATGCAACCAAAACATCAAACATAAGTAAAACACAATTATCACTTATTCATGACATATAATATACATTGCTCATTATGAAAAAACATATAAACAAAATTATAAGCGTACAATCGCAAATCAAAAGTGCAATATTTTGTACTTGGGTGTACTTCCCAAGAAACGAAGCAGCCGGGATACCAAACCCAGTCAGAGCGGGTGGGTGTGCACTCAAGTGTAACGGCTGGTTCATTTGCAGATGCCCTCACAGCTCATTGGGTGTATATATAGAGATGTTGGGTTTTGTAAATACATGCTCATTTTTTGTGTATAACATTTTACAATCAACAGACATCATAACATGTCATGTGTTCAAGTATCACACCTGCCTGTCTGTGTAATTACGTAACGTGACAGAGACCGAACTCGGGCCATAAATCATTGTGTTTTGTTTATTCAGTATAGCCTGATAGGTGATAGTTCAATTTGCATGTGGTCAGTGATTGAAGTTGTGTATTGAATATTGTCATTAGCTGACAGGCAGGCAGACACATAGGTGTCAATAAAACAGACATTGAGTTTTGTCTGTGACAACGACATATCTATATCACAGTTAGAAATTCTGTCAATGCTAAACAATGACATTGCTTTAAGTATCGAACTGAGAAAGTGACTCGGTAAGAAGAACGTATGGTGAAATAGACAAATGAAATTATATAAACAGTTAAATCGGTAATATACTGTCATAACATATAAAAAGCTCAGGCCTGTGAAATATCAACAAAACATTAGAAAAATAGCTCACACCAAGCCTTCACCGAGTATTCACTGGACAACCCGCTTCTAATCTGCGCGAACCTATTTCACTGCGCATGTGCTATGACCGCAGCCCAGCCCAGCTGTTGAAACCACTTTTCCCCCCAAACGCTGGGGGAAAATTAGTGATTCGTTTGAACTCCGATTTCGCGTGTTTTTTTTCATCACGTTATTTTTCAACTTTATAAGTTGAATTTGCATTTTTGATGATTTGTTTCGGTAAGTCCATACCGAAAAGGTATCAGAATCTGCAAAGTTGTGTTTTACGTTGCATGTGACCTTTAAGTTAGATATTTCCATACCAATTAGTCAACGGGTTTCACCTGAACATGTTCAGGTGGTACAAACATACTTTGATCTCTTCGCAAAACATCTTTTATTCATTTTATCTCGTATACAGCTTTTGGTATATATGGTGTAGGTATTGAATATTGCAAGCATTCTCTGTAATAAGTGCACTCAAATGCATATATAATGCTTATCATGCAACATCATTAATACCCTGATCAGTGAATCAGAGTGCTCTTGAGTTTTACTCAGCTTTCTGGGGAGTATACAACATAAGCTGATTGTGAAGTGCGAGGAGGTTCAAGATCACATTATGAGGACCACATACCACCAGGTACCCCTTCACAGCTGGATGAATATCGGAATATCACAAAGCCAACTGCCTATGGTGACACCATATGTGCTCAAGTGTATGTTAGGACCAAAACCATGTACCACCTCGCAGGTCTGACATATTGACAGCCAATTACGCTAACTATAACAATAACTTTTATGCAATAAATCTCATATTACATTGATTTTAATCATACTGCTTTAGAAACTAACTTGTATTTAGCAACAGATGGTTAACATATTGACTTAATCATCATGTGTGGTGTATTATTCATGTGTGTTGTTTGCTCATATAATTGGATCTGATCAGCATACTGTGTATATTATTTGGAAATTAATTTTGCTTATCATGTACTTCAAATTCAGGGATCACACAAACGTGTGAAAGACCCGAAGGTCATAATGGTCTCCATTTCATGCAGTTTAGCCCTTCATGATGGTTTCACAGACTTTACCATATGTTGTGGTTGATAGGTACAGATCCATACAGACTTTGTGTGGGCAATGTTGCCCTTGTGTAATTAAAACGTTCATTAATTACTTAGTTGAAAAACAAACAAAAAATTGGGTCAGAGACATATATGATTGTATTTTTTAGAGACATAAATCATATTTGATAGAACCCAAATCTTACTACCCATTCATATTTAGTACACAGGACAAAATGTTTCACAATACTTTATAGATTTTGATCATTACCTTCATTTCAGTCAGAGAACCAGTAGAGTAAACTTTAATAATAATTAAGCCCCTTTGAAGATGTAATGAGATATTAAATTATTTAGTTTAATCCACTTTCGTCAAAAAACCAAGAATATGATTCAAATAAGGATGTATTTCCGGGTATGTGCTCTCCATATGAGACCCTAGTCCAGCATATAACTAGACGACTTTGCACTAGATCTATACCAAGGTGTGCTCGATGTAGGCCTTGGCTGGATTACGAGTTTATTCATATGAACTAATCAGACCCTAGTTTATTATAACCACATTGCAATGTTACAATATCACCACATCTCTTGTTGGCTACTAAACTACATCATCAAGACTTCTCTTTCAAAAGACACGTCACTAAATAAGAAGTTGTTTTATAGTGTTTATGTGACGAACAGCTCAACGTGCGATCAGACAAAACGCCAGTATTACCGTAAGCTGTCAGGACAGCTGTCGCTGTTAACAGGTGTCTCATGTCGAACCTTTGGGTGATCCACTTACCGTTCCGCTCGCTTCGTGTGTAGATTTTATCGACAAGCAGATGAGCAAAGATGTAATCCACAAGACGCAGTCGTTGTATTTCATCTTTCCGCCGCCCTAGCCCTACACGCCCGTCTAAGCCAACTGGCTCTCACAGTCTGTCCACACACCAACTTTCCCAACTTACAACCCACATGACCAGCAGCTAAAGCATTACCGACCGGTAAATGTCTTGACGCTGCTGATTGGCTAGTCGTAACCAATCCAAGATAGTCTTACAAAGCGTTGGGCCTACCACTTCGGAGAAATAATCCCATTGACTGCTGCGATTTCCAGAAGATTGGCTCGTAATGGGAAAGCAATGTTGAAAGGAAATTGCCGGGCTAATAGTGGCCTATACTAGGCTAGATAACGACAGTCTGTTTACACAGAACCATGCTCACAGATTAAAAAAAATACATATACAGGTGGTAGGGCAAGGAAAAGGAAACTGTCCTAAAATCGTACACGTACTGTAATATTTTATTTTGCGTTCCTTGACTAAAGCGATATATTGAACGATATTGCAGCTCTTCTGAAGGTAACGCAAACGTATTAGATTTAATATGAGTCTAATGAGATAAGGTGATCTGTTCTAAGATAGAGTTGCAATTTTGCTTTACAAGCAAACCATGTTTCAAACTAAATAGAATGATCTTGTTAATTAGAAACACGATCATGAAAGTAAAGTTATTTTTAAACCGTTTTCGCACATATTTTTACGTGGACTCTGTCTGGTACCTAACGTGTTTGTTGTATAGCTATGGAATATTTCAACATCAGGTTTTTAAAATTTGTATGAAACTCTCGCTTAATAATTGGCCTTATCAGCTTAAAAACAGCTTACACTACCTCTTCACCGTAGCTATATCAAGGATTCGGAGTTAAAGTATTCAAGTATTTATAGCTTTAAGGCGATTTTACCAACAAATACGGCATTGTCCAATTTAGATATACAGACTATGCATGTGACTAATTGTACAATACCTGTCATCGTGCTGATGATTTATCGATGATTCATAAAGTACAAAACGTCAGTGCCAGAGACAATCACTAACGATGATCCAGTCGGCTGCAAAAGGCAATGCACATGTAGTTGGAAAAATTATAGGAATGTTCATACATTGTAATTCTAATTGTACAGTGGACACTGCTTATAGTAGGCCTATATACTTTTTATGTTCATAGAAAGGGTTGTGTCGCATTTATTTAATTAGAGCATAATGCTATAGGATTCATGAATATTGATAGTGTCTGGAAAATGTATTTTGATAACTATTTCTTTTTCCACATTTCAAACACATCTGTCATCTTAACATTTCGGTATCCACGATAAAGTATTCGTAATTGTTTAATTTAAGCCAACATCAACTCAGTTCTTTGCTAACATAGCCTCATCCTGTAGTATATATAGTAGTGTATAGTACGTCTTTCTTGACTGAAACCTACAATATTTAAAAAAACCTTCACATTCAAATACAATGTATTTTACGTGCGTATTGTATTCTGCTGTGTATTGCCATTGTCAGGTTCCCATTAGAAGCATTAATACAACTTTGGACCTACCGTGCGTAATACAAATAATACAACATGGGTAGATCATACTGTACGAGTAATACGACAAGGACAAATCATACTGTAATATTAATAATACAACATGGGCACACCGTGCATAGCACAAGTTAAACAACATGGGTACACCGTGCATAATACAAGTTATACAACATGGACACACCGTGCAAAATACAAGTTATACAACATTGGCAACACGCGCATAACACAAGTTATACGTCATTGGTACACCGTGCATAACACAAGTTATACAACATGAGTACACCGTGCATAATACAAGTTATACAACATCGACACACCGTGCATAATACAAGTTATACAACATCGACACACCGTGCATAATACAAGTTATACAACATGGGCACATATAATACTGTAATACAAGTTATACAACAAGGCCACATCGTACATAAATAAAGTAATACAACATTGGCACATCTTACTGTAAAACAAAGAAATACAAGATGACAGATGATACTATAATACAAGCTGTGCAACATGGGCACATTGTGCTGTAACAATGTCTCTCTAGAGTAACAACTCTCCACCCTTATCAAGCTAGTGATAACGGTTTTAACATCTACACCAAAACTTGTATATATTGTAACAAAGAAGTTGGATATTCATAAAACTATCCCCTTGTGTTAGAATCTCTTTGTACATTTCAACCGAGGGGTTTTCGGGTTAGAATAGGTCCCCAGCAACTAATTTGTACAACTAATTGAGTAGTGAAGTGCGGTGATCCCGTGCATTGGCTGTTACATCGTACCCCCACGGTGTAGGACATCTCCGGACGTCAGTCACTGGATTGTCTGGTTCAGACTCAGCTATTTACAGATCGCCGCATTATTGGTGAAATATCGACGAATTAAAAGTTTTTTAATTAAAAATCGTACCATTCACTATTAATATTATTAAATACCATCAACAAACCTTTGTTCTGATCTGATCATCAATTATTCAATCATTTGCTGCATACAATTTTAGTTGATACAAATGTGTATTCTCACATTTATATTTCTGTAATGCTAAAGTTTCGAGGTATTTCCATCATTTGGATAATGATAATGAGTCGTGTTTCAATCACAGCTATATAATACACGGATGTACATTACAGATTAAGAACTAGAATATTTAAACGGTCAAAGTCTAATTTAGCTAATGTCACAGACATGGTTGAAATGCCAATCACACTTAAGCAGACACTTGGACGAGATCTTCAGAGTAAATGACTTTATGTATCTCCAGTTCCACAAGGCAGACATATAAAATTCAGATTGTACTCACAAGACTTTCAAACACCCTAGGCGACATTTGGGAACTTGTAAAACTTGGACTCTGAAATTACATTTACATTTAGTTATTAACTACCAACCGCTTCTTCTTCTTTGTTTGTATTATGATGTACACTATTTACCATCTAAAGGTACATACCGATACAGTTGGTTTTTTGTACTAACTGCCCAGAAACTCAAGGGTAACTTTGACATTAGTCGAAATGAGACCGCCGTAGTGTGAAGGTAGGCATTGCATAAAGTTACATGGAAGTTCGGGATATATTGAAATATCGAAATGCTGAAATCGATAGACCAAGGTTCATTACCCATCCCCGAACGCCAACCCCCCATCCCCCAACCGCCATAACCCAGCCCCCAAGCGCCATAACCCATGCAACCTCATCCCCCAACCGTGTTTTCCGTGAAGAGCAAACAACTCCTAATTGCTAAGGAGTTTACCAGTATAGCCTCATATATGTAAGTCTAAATTATATAGAGGGGCGATGGGGTAGCCTAGTGGTTAAAGCGTTGGCTCGTCACGCCGAAGACCCAGGTTCGAATCCCCACATGGGTACAATGTCTGAAGCCCATTTCTGGTGTCCCCTGCCGTGATGTTGCTGGAATATTGCTAAAAGCGGCGTAAAACCAAACTCAGTCAGTCAGTCTAACTAGATAGAACCTGGTCTTTCCAATGTTGGTGATTGCAAACAGGATTTTAGGCGATGTTGCCAGATAAAAAGTGAAACATTTCTCCTGGAAATCTCGGGTAAACTATTTTACAAGCATTTGAGAAAATATTAGTCTACTTTCGTGGGCTAAAATTAATGAATTACTTATTGAAGTACGATCCGAGTTTGGGCTAAGCTATTTTACAACTGATAATATATGCAAGCTCTCTGTTTCAAATATTCCCCTAAGCCCAAAGAGAGTTTTTAGGGAACCTTTGTAGACTTCAAGAAGACATTCGGCTTTGTAGACAGTAAGAAGATATTGCATATGTTATATACTAAAGGATGTGATGGAAAACTGTATTTAATTTGGAGAGCATGTACGAGTCAGTTGCTGCATGAGTGAAAGCTAAATGTGGTATCACTGAGGCGTTTAACACAATATCAGGTATGCGGTGGGGCTTCGTCCTTAGTCCCATACGTTTAACACAATATCAGGTATGCGATGGGGCTTCGTCCTTAGTCCCATATGTTTAACACAATACCAGGTGTGCGATGGGACTTCCTCCTTAGTCCCATACGTTTAACACAATATCAGGTGTGCGATGGGACTTCCACCTTAGCCACATACGTTTAACACAATATCAGGTGTGCGATGGGACTTCCTTCTTAGTCCCATACGTTTAACACAATATCAGGTATGCGATGGGGCTTCGTCCTTAGTCCCATACGTTTAAAACAATATCAGGTATGCGTTTGGGTTTCGTCCTTCGTCCCATACGTTTAATACAATATCAGGTATGCGATGGGGTTTCGTCCTTAGTCCCATACGTTTAATACAAAACCAGGTGTGCGATGGGGCTTCGTCCTTTGTCCCATACGTTTAACACAATACCAGGTGTGCGATGAGGCTTTGTCCTTCGTCCAATACGTTTAACACAATATCAGGTGTGCGATGGGACTTCCACCTTAGCCACATACGTTTAACACAATATCAGGTGTGCGATGGGACTTCCTCCCTAGTCCCATACTTTTAACACAATATCAGGTGTGCGATTGGGCTTCGTCCTTTGTCCCATACGTTTAACACAATGCCAGGTGTGCGATGGAGCTTCGTCCTTTGTCCCATACGTTTCCCACAATACCAGGTGTGCGATGGGGCTTCGTCCTTAGTCCCACACGTTTTATTAAGGGAACTTGTTGACGCTATTTATGAGAAATGAAAAATGGAATACTTGCACCCAAACAAAAAAGCATCTACTTTCACTTTCATTTGGAATTGGACCCGTGAAGATCCAGGTTAGAATTGATCTTCAGTAACCCATGCCTATCGTAAGAGGCGACTAACCGGATTGGGTGGTCAGGCTCGCTGACTTGGTTGACACATGTCATCGTATCCCAGTTGTGTAGATCGATGCTCATGTTGTTCATCACTGGATTGTCTGGTCCAGCCTCGATTATTTACAGACCGCCGCCATATATATAGCTGGAATATTGCTGAGTGCGGCGTAAAACTAACCTCACCCATTCACTCATTTGGAAATGACGAAGTTATGTTTTCCTACACAGTGAAAGGTGAAAATAAACTACTGAACACCCTGAAGCAGTTGTGTTACACCTGAAGTCTAGAGCTTATGCTAGACAAATGAAATATAAT